CTAAAATTAGGTTTACGATGAAACAGCGATGAAGCAGTTAAAAATAGTTAATTAAACTGAAAATATTAAAGAAACAGATAAAACAAAGGAAAAAAAGAAATATTGTCCTTAAAAGTTACTTGATATCGGAACGTAAAATAACCAGAGCACATTAACTAAATGAGACCTCAACATGAGTGGAAACTGAACTAGAAAAATACACAAAAATATTAAAACCATAATCATACAATATTAGTATTACCGATGCACATTCGAACAATCATATACGTAGAACTGAATATTCTAGTTATAGAATAAATCATCAATCAACGCACATGACTGTTTCCATCCCTGTGACCCAATCACAGACAGTCAATAGCGTCGCAATCATTTCCCCCCGAAAAAACCTTAGCAAATGTAACATAACGGCTCTTACCGAGTGACATTAGCAGCCGGAGTCCTTTGGGATGCAGCAGGTTTTGTTGTATTTATCACAGTCTGTGCACAATAGCACAGAAATCAGTAACAGTCTATAGTTCCGCAGACTAACAAGGAATCAAAGCTATGAAAAGATTTTGAATGTAGCTGAGCAAATAGGATTAAAGATGGCTAATTCCAAGAGGCTGGAGCACAGCATGCATTAAAGAGGAATTCTCTGGGGAAAGATAATCCCCATATGCGTATTAACACACTTCACTGTCCCCTGCCCACCCCGTTCCCTCCCCTTCCTTACGGACAGTATCATAATCAGACACGCTTGGGCTGATACACACTCAAGCTCGAGTTGAACTGAGCGGTCAAAGCAGAAGAACAAATGCATGATATGCTAATGCCAGCGCAGCCAAACCATGAAAAGTCATGGAGAACGAAACCACGAAACCAGCTATGACATGGTCAACTGAGGCTTTACTGTGAAATCCTGTCCAATTCTTTGATTTCACATGTTGTTACATTCCAGAGCGTGTCGGCATTCAGTGAGAGTATGTGCTGCGCTCTCAGAGTCGCCACAAGGGGCGCTTTAGCGGACATTAGCCTGCACAATCTTTTGCTATGCTCCGTTTTCTCTTTCAGGTCAACTAGTGTCATCGCGAAGCAACGGTTTAAAGACAATCTTGCCAGTGTTGCCAACTTAGTTGCTAGATTAGTGACGTTTTCTTCCAAAAAAACGACTAGCGACGAATTTATAGCTACTGCTGGTTAACTATATCAGTCACTATATCATACTCTTTCCACTGTCTGGCCGAAAATATGTCAATTAAAACAGCTTTAAATGGACGTTCGGCTATATATTTGAGAATGGATAAGGAGAGAAAACAGATGTTAAGTGCCGACAGTTGGCGCATTACGTCACCTAGCGACATTTAGAGACTTTTTGAGTAGGCTTTAGCTAGCCTGACTTCATCATACTCATATTCTAGTCAGAATGTGAGTCTGATACTGCTCCATAGGGCTTTGATTATGAGGCGTGTCTTAACCGAACCAGGAAAGAAAAAACCTCTGCACTCAATTGGATAGACCTACAACCAATCAGAGCAACGCTGTAAGTGACGTATGTTGAGCGACGCATAGTTGTCAACAGAACTCAACTGCACGCGCGCTGGAAGTAGTAGTAAAATAATGAGTGTTGCTTCTTTTACTTGGTCCTCCATGAGTGCGACCAAAGGAGAAACCACAACGACCGCAGGGTTTTCATTGCGTCCTGTCTTCTTAGTTACCATCGGAGCCAGCTGATAAATTAAACTTTTGCCGATTCCCGTGGGAAGGACGGCAAACACATCTTTCCGATCGACAAATGCCTTGATTGCAGTTCTCTGTTCGTCTTTTAAAATAAATGTGCTGTCGATTTATTTTACAACAGACGCTATAGCGGAATCTCTACATCTCAGTTCTCCAGCTGCAGTCACCTTTGCGGGAAACCAGTTCAACCCAAGCGCTCTTTGATAACGTGATGATTACGTAACTGCAGATCATCTGTCCATCATCGTATAAAGCCCGCCCTGGCAATTTGATTGGCCTGACGATTTCTGAACCGATCATAATTACTCCTCAATGGATCGAGTCCAGACCGAACTTTCAGTCCAAAAAATGTTGTGGGCGGGGTTCGGGCTGGCATCCAGGCTAGGCTTTAGCTACTTTCCATTGAAAATAGTCGGCAGCACTGAATCAGCAGCACAAGCTACGTACATTTGCCAGCATTTCACACCTTTGGTACAACACATTTCATTATATTTGTCAATTGAAGTGAAACAGTATTATTAAAATTTTTTTGCTATCCTATTATTATTTTGTGATGCAGGATACGATTCATTTCGATTCCACTTTACAAGATATTAATTGACTTTAATTGGGGATATTTCAGTTATAATGTTGAACAATTTAGCATACATATATATGAGAAATTATTTTTCTGTGATATAGGGCAGTGTTTCGAACGGATTCAAATCTTTTGTTACATTTCCATTAAAAAAAATGCCTCAGGGAGAATTGGGAAATTGTGCAACACTGGTCATGCTGTGCATTTTAACTGGCACGAATGAGTCATTTGTTTCATGAATCGGACTGTACTGTTCCCGTTGTATGTTTGTTTTTGCATGCAGCCTGTTATGAGTTTTTATTGCATTACATTAAATGCAGTGTTTGAATTCACTTCATAATCTCAGTTGCATTTTGAGACATTCTGAGCCGACATGCCAAGAAAGTGAAGCACCGATAATATGAAAAAAACACTGTTATTAAATCTTATCCCTATAAGGCCTACTCGATCATATTTGATACACACAGACTCTAAATCATCAACATGCTCAAAACTTTGCTGAAAAACCTATCCTACGTTATTCTACATGATTGACTATGAGTAAAGCGACTCTCTTCGGGTCGTAGTTCATGCATCTATTTGCTGTGAAATCTTAAATGATTTTTTTAAAGCAAATGTAAGAATAACTTTTATAATGTTAGTAATATTTCAAGATTAAACTTTTTTCAAATGTTTATTTGTTCATCTCTCAATCATCGTTGTATTGCATTGCTATATGTTTTAAAACTACTGAGCTTTGATCATAAAACTAAGCGTTTATCATCTTACTTAATGACATTATTGGGAGATATAGAGTGACAACTGATATTTATAAGCATTTTATACGAGTAATCTGCTGTACTGTTATACTGATTTTATTGATTTACATTACTAGCTATCAGAATTTCATCTTACTTACTGGCCATATAAATATCAGCAACACGATTTTGCTCAGTTTGGGCCTCTGAATTAAATTGTAGTTTTTTTCCCCTTCGTGTTTAAGCTCCATATTCTCACGATATATCAAGCCTGATGTATCAAATACGACACACAAAAAAAAAAAAAAATATATATATATATATACACTCACCTAAAGGGTTATTAGGAACACCATACTAATACTGTGTTTGACCCCCTTTCGCCTTCAGAACTGCCTTAATTCTACGTGGCATTGATTCAACAAGGTGCTGAAAGCATTCTTTAGAAATGTTGGCCCATATTGATAGGACAGCATCTTGCAGTTGATGGAGATTTGTGGGATGCACATCCAGGGCACGAAGCTTCCGTTCCACCACATCCCAAAGATGCTCTATTGGGTTGAGATCTGGTGACAGTGGGGGCCATTTTAGTACAGTGAACTCATTGTCATGTTCAAGAAACCAATTTGAAATGATTCGAGCTTTGTGACATGGTGCATTATCCTGCTGGAAGTAGCCATCAGAGGATGGGTACATGGTGGCCATAAAGGGATGGACATGGTCAGAAACAATGCTCAGGTAGGCCGTGGCATTTAAACGATGCCCAATTGGCACTAAGGGGCCTAAAGTGTGCCAAGAAAACATCCCCCACACCATTACACCACCACCACCAGCCTGCACAGTGGTAACAAGGCATGATGGATCCATGTTCTCATTCTGTTTACGCCAAATTCGGACTCTACCATCTGAATGTCTCAACAGAAATCGAGACTCATCAGACCAGGCAACATTTTTCCAGTCTTCAACTGTCCAATTTTGGTGAGCCTCTTGCAAATTGTAGCCTCTTTTTCCTATTTGTAGTGGAGATGAGGGGTACCCGGTGGGGTCTACTGCTGTTGTAGCCCATCCGCCTCAAGGTTGTGCGTGTTGTGGCTTCACAAATGCTTTGCTGCATACCTCGGTTGTAACGAGTGGTTATTTCAGTCAAAGTTGCTCTTCTATCAGCTTGAATCAGTCGGCCCATTCTCCTCTGACCTCTAGCATCAACAAGGCATTTTCGCCCACAGGACTGCCGCATACTGGATGTTTTTCCCTTTTCACACCATTCTTTGTAAAACCTAGAAATGGTTGTGCGTGAAAATCCCAGTAACTGAGCAGATTGTAAAATACTCAGACCGGCCCGTCTGGCACCAACAACCATGCCACGCTCAAAATTGCTTAAATGACCTTTCTTTCCCATTCTGACATTCAGTTTGGAGTTCAGGAGATTGTCTTGACCAGGACCACACCCATAAATGCATTGAAGCAACTGCCATGTGATTGGTTGATTAGATAATTGCATTAATGAGAAATTGAACAGGTGTTCCTAATAATCCTTTAGGTGAGTGTATATATATATATGTGTGCTGGGCAACGATTAATCGCGATTAATCACGTCTCTAAATTAAAAGTTTGTGTTTACATAGTATGTGTGTGTACTGTGTATAATTATTTTGCATATATAAATACACAGATTTGCATGTATATTTTTAAGAAAAATTTGTTATTTATATATAAAACATTTAGTATATTATCTATTAATATAAATACAATATATACATGAACATATTTCTTAAATACATACATGCATATGTGTGTATTTAAATGAATTACACACGCATATATTATGTAAACACAAACTTTTATTTAGTATGCGATTAATCATTGCCCAGCACTAAATATTTTTTGTCTAAGGTTTCATTAAACTGTTGCATTTCAAAAACTCCTGATTTCTCAGACTATCCATGAGTAGGTCTGACTGTGGTGGGTACCTTCAGCACTTCCATGGGCACCTGTGTGGCGCTGGGCGGGCCGGGGGGTGCGCTGACGTTGATGGCGGGGCTCTGGGTGGCGTACGCTGAGCTCTGCCGCCTCTGCCGCTCTCGCTGCTCCTGCTCTTGGAGCTGCTCGCGCATCAGCTGCTGGCGGAGCAGGATCCGCGAGGTCACGGCCGACGAGCCCAGCGGGGGCTTACAGGAGCCATGCTGATGCTCGGAGGGATTACTGCGGGCAGACACACACACACACACACACACACACACAGACAGACAGTTGAGGAGTGGGGCTCTGCAGAGGGACCGTGTTTGCTACACTAGGTGCTGGATAATTGAATTATTTTGAGATCCTGGATGTTAATTAGGAAGCATAATTATTTGAACCACGGGGATCGAGTTGGATTGGAAATATGGAAACTGACTGGAAAGCTAAGCATCACTACTATACGGTTATGAATTTGAACAAGCCCCTAAGTATTAAATTTAGCCCACAAATGTTCTGCTGACGTGATATACAAAAGCATGCGGTTTGTTGAGGAGTTTTGGGATTGTGATTGGAACCTTTTTTTTTTTACCCATAGTGGACAAAAAAAAAAAAAAAAATCGGTGGAAAAAATGCTTACACAAAAATGGCAGTAAGAAACCTAGCAAACCTCCCACAACACCCGATACGACACACTAAAAATATTATACTTTAAACGAATACTCTATACTTAAGTGTGAACCGAGTGTAATGTTTTAGACACTTAATTGAATTTTTATTGCAATGAAATGAAAATGTATTCTAGTTTAAATGTATAATAAACACAATTGGCTAATCTTTTGAGTGCTTTTTTGAACCACTTGAGTACGCCTGTTTCCGTAACTGAATAAAAAATGGGGGAAAAAAAGGTAATTGTGACTTTTTATCTCACAATTCAGAGAACAAAAGTGAATTTTTAGATAAAAAGTCACAATTATTCCGTAGCGGAAACAAGCTTCAATACAACTTATATCTTTATATATGCAATTTCATATTACTTTTATTGTCTTTGAAATATGGATAAAATGTACTGCCTAATGTACTGACAAGAATTTATGATAAACTAAAATATACTTTAATATAATTTCCATTATCATGTATTTCAATATATAGTACTACACATTTGTAATGATGAAGTTGCAATTTAGTACATTTAAAATATATCAACTTTAAATCTAATATCAAATAACACACTACTGTTAAAACTATAATCAAGTACTTTACATTTGATTTAGTAAGTTAGTCAACACATTAAAATAAGTGCACTTTAAAACATGACACATGATTTAAAATGTACCTTTAATTTGACATTTTTACAAACTAAGTTCACATTTAAAAATGTGCTAAAGTGTTAAGGAACACCATGAAAGTGGACTTAATATTATCTGCAAGTAAGATGCTTTTGAAAATATACTTTTAAGAGTTGAAGTGCACATTCAATACAATTAAGTTCACTTCTTTTTAGCAAGGGTAACAATCTCCCTAGCATCATGCAAACATCACTGACATTTTCTCCACAAAATTGTCTGGCCCTTTTAGTCACAGTAGAAATGACAGAGAAAAGAGGAATTGGGAAATGATCCAAGATGGCTTCAAATATGTGCCATGGGACACTAGCATGCTAACCCCTAAGCTAAGGCTCCAAAAAGGTTTACATTTTACGGGCTTTTCCTCTTTAATTGGACATGACTGAGGAAGGAGATTTGGTAACTTGCTCTATCAAAACACATAGCAATAGAATTTTATTTTTTAAATTATGGCAGAAGAAAGAACAGCATGAAACTAGCAAACGATATCGGACACAGTCAACATAAACAGTTTAGCATCATCATCCAAACATAGTTGACTGCAGAATAACGATAGTGACCAATCGGCATCAAATATAATTAGTTATAAACTTAAGGCCTTCACTACTACCTCTAACACTAAAGTCTAACAGTGTCCTTGTTAATACGAGTAGTTGATGTTTGTGGCATAATCACAGAACTGGGCCGGACCTTCTTGACGCTGATTCAATGCGACGACTCGCAACAAACGACTCAAGCAAATCTCTCCCTCCCTCTCTCCAAGGAAAAACTAGATCTGAAGGTGAAAACTAATGTAATGCAACACAACCAGGCACTACTTCCTCTACATCAGCTGATGTTTTCAGTTCTGCGGCTGTTTAGGTTTTCTTTCTCCCACAGCTTTCCTCCCACTATTTCGCCATCAGTTTCTTCTACAGTGCCCCACAGATCCCAGTCCAGCTGAGGAACTTACACAACGTTCCCTCGCGCACTTTCAGTTCTCTTCATGATTCAGTAGAGGAACTGCTGGCTCCGAACGCCGCACGTTTTTCCGCCCAGAAACCCAGACGACGAGCTGTCGAGATGAGGCCTTCTCCTCGCCGCTGATTCTTTTGATGCGCCTCTGCCAAGCGGCCAGCCAATCCAGCTGTGCAGTAATCGCTCTAATTAGCCCGTCCGGCCCTGTCAAACACTAGTCTGCAGCACTTGCCTAGCATTGTGGTTTAAACACGTGTAATCTCATTGTCTACAACTTTACATTTCTGTTTCTGACAAGGCATTATTAAGGGCCGTTGTTCATGAAAGCTGCACTGCAAGTAGCATAAACGATTGTATTCGAATCAAACTAAAAGCATTTGTTTTGTTATTTCTTTTTCAAGAAGAAACTTGAGAAAAGAAAAACATTGGCGAAAGAACGCAGAAGCATTGGCTTTTCTCATGTTCTCATTTCTCAAATTTTTTTCCATCATAATGTCCCCTTAAAGGCTCCGTACTATTGCAATATTTCACTGTAAAATTAAAAAAAATATTTATTAAAAAAAAAAATAATATGAATAATTTTGATTTACAATTTTTACAACTGTAAAATAGCAATACTAATATTATTATATTACTTTTAAATAGTCTTAATTTCTTCTTTCAAACTACCAAACTTTTATTTGGATGGAAAACTAATGTTTTTGTGTCAGAATAGACGTCTTAGGTCACATCTAATGTTACTTTTTCCAGTGCTTTTGGTCAACTGGACATTTTCTAAAAAGTCATATTTTCACTGTTTTGTTGACTGATCAACACCACATTAAACAAAAGCTCAACCCATTTACTTTAGTCGCTCACAGCTTCCATTGAATAATCAGTCACCCTGACTAAACTCCAAAACATCTTTATACAATCAAACTTATGAAACAGTTACAAAAATTGGGGAAGACAAATAAGAAGAAAGGAGAGAAAGAAGAAATGCAGGGACATTGATTCTGGGTCAGGAGTGGCTAACACGCGTGTTTTTGATGCATCATAGTTCCTCAGTTTAAAAACTGATCATGGTTTGTCTGGCACGACTGAATCATGACTACTGAATCAAAGCCAATGGACTGACTCACACAGGACTAAACTGCTGTGGATTTTAACACACTTTTAACACACTTTAAAATTCGGTATTCTGTGTCTGTTTCTCTAATGATCATGCAAGTGCTAATTTGCTTTGCTAAAGCCAACTTCATAAAACACATCAACCAATCAATGATTATGTTACTAAAGTTCAAAATTACGAAACCTAATTATGCAATCTCTTTAACAAATGCTTTACATGATGGTCTTCCTCTTGAAGTAATTGAGACCAATAACATGGACATGATTCCCTTTTTATACCTTAAAATAGTCAGTGTAACAGGTGCATTGTTTAACGTATATACATAATACACTTATTGAATAATCTTATTTTTGGATTTGAATCCACCAATTTACACATCAAGAAAATAGAAAATATGAAGTGCCTTTCATTGCAAAGAATTTAAATCCACTGTATTATATTATACAATAACAGCATTTGCTTGCAAAATTGTAACTTTGCGCTCTCTCACAAAAGGTATGGGATCCACTTCGCATTGGCTTATAAAACTTTTGTATTCCCCTTAGAAACTTTGCTTTTGCTCGCAAAAGTTTTGTGTTCTTTCGCAAATGCTTTGGATTTCCTTGCAAAACTTTATCGTTCAACCAAGAAACTTAGCATGGGCTCGGAAAACTTTTGTGTTCTCTCAAAAAGTGGTGCGTCCCCCGTGACACTTTCCATTACCTCGCTAAACCTTTGCACTCTCTCGCAAAAGTTTTGCGCTCCACCTAGAAACTTCACAAATGCTTTGCGTTCAGCCAACAAACTTTGGATTGTTTTTTGCAAAAATTTAGGTTCCTTCGCAAACGCATTGCGTCTGGCAAACTTTGGATTTTCTCGCAAAACGTCTCGGTTACGTATGTAACCCTCGTTCCCTAGAGGGAACGGAGAAGTGAGTCGGACGTACTGATTGGGATCACGCTTAGGGAGCCTGTCATCTTCAAGTATTGATAAAACGAGCCAATGCACATTGGCGTGCGAGATTTGCATCTTGTGCTCCGCCCCGCAGCGCGGGAATAAACACGAAAGCGGATGCACGCACCATTTGTTTTCCGCTGAGGAGCCGAGCGGACCCCGGGGTCAGCGGTAGTCCAGCAATGGTGGCGACGGGACTCACGTGCTCTCTCTAGTGCCGAGCTCACGTCGACTCATGTCACGTGACCAAACTGAAAGGGAACTTTTGTGTTCTTTAGCAAATGCTTTGCGTTCAGCCGACAAATGTTGGATTTGCTCATGAAACTTTTATATTATTTCGCAAATGCTTTGCGTTCAGCCACAAATGTTGGATTTGCTCGCAAAACGTTTGCATTCTTCTGTGAAACATTGTATTTGCTTGCAAAACTTTATTGTTCCACCCTGAAATTTTTTCTTTACAACTCATTTTATTCTCATCAACTTGTTTTTTTGAAGGCTTTGTATACACTCATCTAAAGGATTATTAGGAACACCATACTAATACTGTGTTTGACCCCCTTTCACCTTCAGAACTGCCTTAATTCTACGTGGCATTGATTCAACAAGGTGCTGAAAGCATTCTTTAGAAATGTTGGCCCATATTGATAGGATAGCATCTTGCAGTTGATGGAGATTTGTGGGATGCACATCCAGGGCACGAAGCTCCCGTTCCACCACATCCCAAAGATGCTCTATTGGGTTGAGATCTGGTGACTGTGGGGGCCATTTTAGTACAGTGAACTCATTGTCATGTTCAAGAAACCAATTTGAAATGATTCGAGCTTTGTGACATGGTGCATTATCCTGCTGGAAGTAGCCATCAGAGGATGGGTACATGGTGGCCATAAAGGGATGGACATGGTCAGAAACAATGCTCAGGTAGGCCGTGGCATTTAAGAGATGCCCAATTGGCACTAAGGGGCCTAAAGTGTGCCAAGAAAACATCCCCCACACCATTACACCACCACCACCAGCCTGCACAGTGGTAACAAGGCATGATGGATCCATGTTCTCATTCTGTTTACGCCAAATTCTGACTCTACCATCTGAATGTCTCAACAGAAATTGAGACTCATCAGATCAGGCAACATTTTTCCAGTCTTCAACTGTCCAATTTTGGTGAGCTCTTGCAAATTGTAGCCTCTTTTTCCTATTTGTAGTGGAGATGAGTGGTACCCGGTGGAGTCTTCTGCTGTTGTAGCCCATCCGCCTCAAGGTTGTGCGTGTTGTGGCTTCACAAATGCTTTGCTGCATACCTCGGTTGTAACGGGTGGTTATTTCAGTCAAAGTTGCTCTTCTATCAGCTTGAATCAGTCGGCCCATTCTCCTCTGACCTCTAGCATCAACAAGGCATTTTCGCCCACATTTTCGCCGCATACTGGATGTTTTTCCCTTTTCACACCATTCTTTGTAAACCCTAGAAATGGTTGTGCATGAACATCGCAGTATCCCAGATTGTGAAATACTCAGACCGGCCCGTCTGGCACAAACAACCATGCCACGCTCAAAATTGCTTAAATCACCTTTCTTTGCCATTCTGACATTCAGTTTGGAGTTCAGGAGATTGTCTTGACCAGGACCACACCCCTAAATGCATTGAAGCAACTGCCATGTGATTGGTTGATTAGATAATTGCATTAATGAGAAATTGAACAGGTGTTCCTAATAATCCTTTAGGTGAGTGTATATCACCATATACTAGAAATTTAACTAAAAAAAAATGTATAATGTATTAAATTATATTGGGAAAATGCAAAGTTTCAAGGGGGAATGAAAAAGTTTTAGGAGCAAATGCAAAGTTTGTCAGGGGAAAACAAACATTTGCAAGAGAACACAAATGTTTTGCAAGGGAATGCAAATTTTCGGAGCACAGCCCGCCTTAGGGGCTCTGTAAATATTTACTATTGCCATGACACAACATTATCGCTATATACAATTCCAGGTTTATAGGCTTTAGTTTTTTAATCTGACGCAATCACAGCAGCAGGTGATATAATGAAAAGTACAGTGTGATCATGGTTCTTAGGGTGTATTCACACCTGTCTTGTTTGGTTCGATTGAATCGAACTCAAGTTCGTTTCCCTCCTTGGTGCGGATCTTTTGGGCAGGTGTGAATACAGCGATCGCACTCGGGTGTGGAGCAAACAACCGTACCGAGACCCAGCTGAAGAGCTGGTCACGGTCCGGTTCCAAACGAACTCTGGTACGGTTTGTTTAAGGTGCGAACATGACCCGAGCCAATTGCAGAAAGCACTGCGCCTTTTTTGACAGGGTCAGATTTTTACTATGTAATTTGAGGTGATGAAATGCCAATACATTACGGGCCTAATACACTTCTAGAAGCAGTTGATTGAAAAAGAAAACGGTTATCTTCACCCAAATCGCGCGCATGCAGAGAGAGAGAGAGAGAGAGAGAGAGAGAGAGAGAGAGAGAGAGAGAGAGAGAGAGAGAGAGAGAGAAAGAGAGGCAGAGGCGCTCGAACACCGAATTGATTCCTCTTTTGCGTTTCCTTGCCCTTGAACACACACATGCACACAAAACTACACTCTCAAAAAAATATACAAAAGCTGTCACTGTGGCGGTACCTTTTCAAAAGGGACACCTTTGTACCTAAAGAGTGCCTATTAGTCGCTCAAAGGTACATATTGGTGCCAAAAGTGTACATATTAGTACCTAAATGGTACATATTAGAACCCTTCTGAAGGGTACTGTCCCAGTGACAGCTTTTGTACCTTTTTTTCTGAGAAACTCGTCAAAATACCCGTCTCGGCAAGTATTCTCTCGGTTATGTCATAAGTGGACAGTTGAGAAAGAAACCGCGTTTGTCAATTTTTCCGGCCCGTGCATTCGGTCTTAAAGTGACAGCACACACCTAATATTTCTACTGTGTCATTAATGTTAATAAAACAACAAAATACAGCTTTAACAAAGATGAAACTAATTTCTGTACCTGAATACTAGCCTACTGTTAGACTTTGTAACTTTGTTGTAATTTGTGTATTTGTTCTTATTTTATTACTGACTGTTCACTTGTTTTTAATAATGTTTGAACTTTATCAGTTAGTCTAGTAGTTTTTTTAAGTGGTATTGAAGAACTTCAAGTGAGCTTTAAGTAATGAATAAGCAAAGTTACATTACAAAGTTACATTTCCCCATATGATGCTCATAAGTTTCTTCATTTAGCGTTAGTAGCACTACGAAAGATCTCCGCGATTAGCCTGTTTTTGCACTTCCTGCTTTTCCCTGCTTGATAATGACTGTCCAATGAATGGATGACCTTAGCACACGTGTGGTTTTGTTCACAAATTTTGGTTCACTTGCAAAAAGGGCAGTGTGAAAGTGAACCACAACAAACAAACAAAAATCAACATTGTTTTTGGCCCGGACCAAAGCAAGTGAACTAGCGGACTTTCCTGGTGTGAATACACCCTTACACTTTAACGGCTTATAGACCAAAAGCCAGCACCACTTCCACACAACAGACCTTATCAGTCCTAACGAAATCTCTGCCGCTGAACTGGCCACTCCAAGCACATTTTCTGTTGTCATTGTAAAAAGAATGTGTGTGTGTCTGTGTGTGTGTTTGCAATGCTCGGGGTAATTTTCCATTTTGGTGTGTGCGGCATGAGTGGACCATCTCTGCTCCGCTGTGTGTGTGTATGTGTGTGTCAGGAAAAACAATGAGTTCACAGTCTTGTGTGGCCACACCCCCAGATTGCCCTAGCCAATAAGAGATCTGCATCAGGAGGAGGCTGACCTCCTCCACTCACCTCAGAGCGCTGCCATGTGCAGCTTAAGTAGTATATACTGCTCATTTGAGGCCAGTCATGTCCCATGATACTGTTTAAAAACAATACATGTCAAAAAGGAGATTTATATGATGCAGCAACAGCATTGCTTTCTGGGCAAGTCAAGTAGTTATACTCTCAGCTGGCGAATACTCAAATGACAAAAGCAAAACTAACACTGATGACCAGCAATTTATATTAAAACACCATCAAGTGTACTCTGATGCTCACCACATGCTTATTCTATGCCTAAGTTACAGGACACACAGCACAGGGATATTTATAGTCACAGATTTATTTATACTACACCCAAACAAACTCTCCATCCCTCCCCGTACACCCCCCAAACACACACACACACACACACACTCCTCCACAGGTACTCACAAGTGGCTGCAATGTAAAACGCAGGGACTTTGCACTTGCACACCCAGAGCCTCCATCTTTATTCCCTGTGCTGAAGGTGCACTGCGCGCCCTTGGACCGCTCTGAGAGTCACGCTGGACCGGCTGCGCTGGGAGCGTGTCAAAAGGGGAGGCACCAGCAGCCAGTACACACACAGGGGCACACGGGAAGAGACACACACCAGCCCACAGCGCTAAACACACTACACTGCTGCACATGACGGCACAGTGAAGCTCATCAAACCACTCAAGACAATCTCAATGTCCAGACCATTAGGAGGTTTTTGTTTTCTTTCTTTTTTTTGCACTAACATTGCATTTCAGTTCAGTTTAGTTTCGTTTTATTTATCCGTTAGGAAATTAGTTTTGCACAGGTGCCACGCGTCACATTAACACAAGCACGCACTAGACAAGTTAAAAAGGCACATGGTTACAGACTATTCAACATTGAAATAGCAGCTGGTATGAGTTTTTAAAGCTCCTGGTTCTCCTTCTCATTGCTCTATATTTACACTGTAAAAAATCATCGTGATTTTAATGGTAAAAGACTGTAAAAATGCTGCAGTGCAAAACAAAACAGAAGGATCCTTACTATATACGGTAAATAACTGTGATAGATCTAACGGTACATTTAGTGTAATTTTACTGTAAAATACCGTTAAATTTACAGTTTTTGAAAGTGCAAAAGAACAACTCATTATATCATTTACAGTGAAAAACCATTGACATTCCCACAATTCCCTGGGTGACACTTCACATATGATTTATTTTTTGTTGAAATAACTGATTAGAAAAGAAAACTAAGAAGAAACAGTTATGTACATTAGGGTTTTGTGTTACATTTAATGTTGTTAAATTAATGTTTATTGCATTTTTTAAATTTCATGCGTGTTACCATGATGGTGTTTAATGTTTGTGCGAATGACACTGTGCAGCTTCTATATATTAGTATTAGCTTTCTTGTGGAAGACTGCTTGTGATGAGCTATGATTGATCATGTGACTTTCATCTCTGCTGTGATGATTGTTGTTTGTCAGTGTATTACAATGGTACAAAACAGATATTAATACTGCTGGTAAAGTATTGGTAAATTAACATTATATCAGATAATGAAATACGGTTTATTACTGTAAATTTTAAGTTAAGTCTGTAAAACCAATAACGTTGAAACCGTATTTTTGACGGTAAAGTTCTGGTAACCACAGCTGGCAGTTTTTTTTCCGTAAAAACAACAGGGTTTCTTTTACAGTGTACGGCCTGATGGGAGCATGACAAACTCTTTCTGAAACAGGAGTGACGGACAGTTGATTATCGAATAGGCTTTTTTAACAACCCGTTCACTGTAAAAAAATTGCTGTAGTTATGCAGCTGTTTGCCAGTAACTTACTGTAGATTTAAATTGATGTATATTTAATGTATATTTTTTTCCTTCAGATTTTGGTTCCCACAATGCTTTGCATGAGGCTGTTATTTTACTTTTATTCTGTAAAGATAAAGACTTGTTAATGTTTAATGTTCATTTAACTTTGAACAAACTGTTGCCAGTAAATAACATCAATTTAAAACTACAGTAAGTTACTGGCAAGCAGCTGCCAGTAATACTGTAATTTCTACTGACTTTTTTTTACAGTGGTCCTGAAGCAATATCTGTTGAACTCCAATTACTTTAGAAGCAGTCTTTATCAGCTTACTCATTCTGTTTCTATTGGACAGGCTTATACAATCAAACCGTACATGTCGCAGTGAGAAATGACGGATTCGATAACACAGTGTCATTGACACTGAACATACTTTAAAAGAGTTCATTTTTCTTAAGAAAAGCATACACTGTTGAACCTTTGTACAAATGGCATCAGTATTGGCATACAAATGTAATTTATTATCAATCACTATACCGAGATATCGATATCTGTCCACAAGCTCAGTGTCCCTTCCAGTATAACAGTAGGAGAGGCTGAAATGCCCCGTTTTCCAAAAGTCTATAATCATTTTTATATATTCCCTCCAAATTATCATAATGCAAAAATATCTTTTTCATTACTTTATTTTTTAGATGTAATATACTTAATTAGATTAATATTATTCAAATGATAATATATATATATATATCATGCTAGCATTTTTGTACTTTTATAGTCATTTCTACTGTAATACATTAATATTGCTATAATACAATAATTAAAATGATAAAAACATCCATGGTAACAAATCATGGTAGTTTTTGTTTTATTGTAATTACTTTGTGTAATTTTCCATTGAATTCCTTGAATTAATCATGTATATGGTGTATAATATTGTATTGTAATAGATATTTTCCACTGTAATAAATCATTTTGATATTTTTTCATATTTTACTGTATTACTAGCTATTCATTTTTTTTATTGTAAATGTTTTACTATATTACATGAATGTATCTAATGATTTGGCATGTGTTACCAGGAGAAATGTTGTGTTCTTTCGCAAATGCTTTGCGTTCAGCCATCAAACTTTGGATTTGCTTGCAAAACTTTTCTTTTTGATTTGGCATGTGTTGTATAATACCAGGAGAATCACCTTTGCAAATAATAGGAAATATATTTACAGTTTAAAATACTGAAATGGCATAAAATAGTGTCCAAATACAAAATAATAAAGGAGGCCCAAGAAATTGCTAGTCAATTTCACAATTAATTACGAAGAAATGGCAAGTAATACATTTAATTTTGAACATTTTTAAGTAGAAAAACTAAAATAGCATTTTCTTGTAAAATATTTTTCAATAATCTTTAATTTACAACTTAGAAAAAATGTAAAAAAAAAATTTTTTTTTTGTTTAGAGTAAAATATGGACATGTTTTCATGAGATTCACGACATGATAATATGTTAAAATCATTATAATGACATTATAATAACATTATCATCATCAAAAGGATAACAAAACAACATCTCCGATCCGGGCCGTGTTTATACACCCGACAAAGCAGTCTTGTCATATCTCTGAGGTTTTCTTTCTGAACACACGCTGCCCTGCACACTAGAGGGCGCTCTCTCGGTCACCTTCACGGTCACCTTCCCTGAGAGGCGCAGGTCGTTACAGGTGGAGCGGGACGAGGGGAACAGGTGGAGCTGCCAACACATTCACACGCGCGCTCGCTCTCTCTCTCTCTCTCTCTCTCTCTCTCTCTCTCTCTCTCTCTCTCTCTCTCTCTCTCTCTCTCTCTCTCTCTCTCTCTCTCGGCAAACAGTGCTGTGTTAATTATAACAAAGCATGTTTGATAGCACGCTTTCCTTTCATAGCTCGACAGGCCTCCACCACACACACACACAGATTTTGGCTTATGTTCAGAATGTAATATTAGCATACTGCTTGCTGCATATACTTGGGTATTTCCTCTGAAATGGCTTAAAAGAGTAACAACCATCATTTGAACAAAGAATTATTGTTGAAAGAAATTGTCAAAATGTCTAATGAATGAATTTGAAGTAAATTAAGTGAAAGGCATGCTTTACAAATGTGCACTTATATATGCAACAACATACATTTTCCTAACTTAAACAATAAAAACCAAAACTAATAACAGATGTCATGCGGTGAATTTTTTGAGCGATGATACTAATGGTGATGTTGCTTAATTTTACATTAGCAAGAAAAATGAGTAAGAAATGAATGATCCCAAAAATATGTACGTTTTACAACCCTAAGTTATCAAAAAGTTATTTCGAAATGTTGTCTGAACCAAGGAAACATTATCTTTTTGCAAACATTAACTTTTGAATGTTCTCTGAAACAAGCAGTAACGTTTAAAAAACATTAAATGAACATCCAACTGAAAAAGCTCCATGAACAATGTATAAAGAATGTCTTTGCACTAACGTTTTTAAAGACCAGATAACTATGAATAAACGTTCTATTAACGTTACCGTAAGAACGTTTGTTAATAACCTCGCCAGAATAATCCCTGTTAGCAGAACAATCAAATAATGTGCCTAAATGTATATGTTAAAAACGTGTATATGTTAAAAGTAGTGCAAGTAGGAGCCTATACTAGAATCCAACATTTCCTTTGTTTCAGAAGTACTGCAAAAACAAAATGACTAAAAATAAATCTTTCCCACACAAATATAGTTTCTGCGAAAACGTAAAAAGACTTTGCTGTGTGTTAGCAAGTGAAGCAAACGCTAAAAGAGGAAGCAGTGCTCTTGTTAGGGATGTTTACAGTCTGTTGTTAGCCATCGCCGCTGACATATAGTGGGGCTCTTTGTTGTAATATTTACAGGATGGGTGGGGACCACTTCATTCGATTTCAACTTGTTGCCTCCTATTTCCATAATTGAGTTTTATTCATTCTCTCCTCACTTGTTTGCTGAGCTTGAACTCTCTCTTTTAGCTCAGGCTAGCGAGGCCTAGACACTCCAGCTGAGGAAACACAACTAGTTTCACTTGCATCGGATTGAAGTGTGCTATCTTAAGGTCCTAAGGTGACCTAACTTGAAATGTATAGACTGACACATTATACATTTTCTACTGGAACTATAGGCCAGTGAATTCAACAGGTTCTGGTTGAAGTATCTGATGTCAATGTCCATTGCAAATATCTAAATTCAGATTGCCAGTATAATGCTGATCCACTGTAATGCAAAATATGTACAATCCATTTTAGTTATACGCAGAACTTGATTTTAACCACAGGTCTTGGTGACCTCAGCCGAATAGCTGTTCAAGGAGTGGAGTTAGTCATAAAGTCATCATAAAGTTTACAATTGCAATTTTTCAAATATAATAATATAACGTGCACAGATGAATTGTTCATCATAAGACCACAAGCATGCTAGAAAGTAAAAAGGTCAAGTAAATAAGTGTTGTAATTGTAATTTGATGTCACTGTTTCCCCGTTATTGACAAAACCTTCCATCATTTATGACACAATGCTTCGCCGCCGTGTTTTCCCGGTTATGCGGTAGGGGGCGCTATTACACATCCTCGGAAAGAGTTCACAGAGTCTCCTGATCAAAACACATGCGAAGGAGAAGCAGAAACAAGCGATATCATATGTAATCATATGTATAATACTCATCAACATGTTACTGAATGAGATGTCGACCCAGGACGAGCTCTAGGACTGTGAAGCTTTGGGGTGTTGATGGACTCGACCAACTCCATCTGTGTTTCGATCATCGTTCTCAATCCCATCCGGACTTTGTCTTTGACAAAAAACATGATTTTCTCAGCTTTTTGCTCAAAATGTTACTTTT